AAATAATTATGAGTTCTTACATATTAAACACAGCAATTCTTAATTTAATGTGAAAATTATAACATTTAGAGCACCATTCAGTGATTTTTGGATCCCTATAACTTCCAGGCAGATACAGAGGAAAGTTTAGGGTCCAGCATAGAAATCTGTCAAAATGTCTAACGCTATTTTGATAATAAGAATCAGCAATTATATTATCTGAATGAGTCAGGATGGTTCAAAACCAACTAGAAACAGTAATCCAGAGTACCGCCTTGCATGTAATTCATAATTTACCGTCACTTGTATTGCAGCTTTCTCCAGAGTATCCCTGATCGCAGATGCAGCGCTCTTCATCCCCTGTCTTCTGACACTGACCGTGTAGACACTGCAGCCTCTGACACGAACCTGCTGGCTCCTCCTGGAGGTTACACAGCGCTCCTCTGTATCCTTTCTCACATTCACAGCGATAGGTTTGAGCATCCAACACCATGCATTCACCCTTCACACACCTGGAGGTGGACAAAGATAAAAGCATTAGCCCATTTAACTATCCTGAAATGGGTTTTATTTGTTGATCGAGTATAATGGCATCTGAAAAAAATGTTATACTCACTTGTTGCCCTCACATGGGTTGATGCCGTTGGCCATGGTGACGACATCCACCCCGCTAAGGCCCACAGTGATTGGCTGGTCGCAGTGCTGTCCCGTCCACCCCGCCTGGCACTGACACTGGGGGCCCTGGAAAGTAAACATAATATTTTAGTTCAATCTAACGTGTGGTTCAGAATAATGTTATTGTTCGTGAGGAACTCCGGTTCTGCAGTGTGTTGCTACCTGAGCACTGTTGGGTTGGCATATGCCATGCAGGCAGTAAAGTTCTCGGCAGGGTTGGCAGCCTGGTACCACGCCTGGCTTCATTTGGCTGCGGGTGAAATCCTGCAGCTCGTGGTTTATGTAGAGGTTCCTGATGCAGCCCTGGAAGCTGGACGTGTTGATGGTCTGATAGGAGAGTCCTCGAGAAGTCGGTATAACCTCCATAGGCATACCTGGGCAGACATACCAAAGTGGCTCTACTTGTGGATCTGTAATGAATTTAGCCGAGTTGTTCAAGTCTGAGGTCCGTCCATCACTCCTACCTCCCACATACAGAGGGGTCTCTCCTGTCACTGGCAGGCCGCGGCCATGGCTGTCCAGAGTCGTTGGCTCTCCTCCATCCACAGATAAGTTCACCATCTGATTAAAGGTCACCAGCTCAACCGTGTGGAAAAGCCCATCGTTCACCGTCTCAGCACTGCACACAGGAGGAAGCATTTATCTGTTTATGTACAAGTAATGCAATCATACAAACGATAAAGGTGCGCTTCGTTAACAAGAAGATATCGGACCCTTTTTTATGGCTTTTGCGGTTGATGTTGTTGCTCTTTAAATGTCAAAACCTCAGTAAAATCGACAGTTTAAAGGATTCAGGCTTATGTAGAGAAACTGACAGAGCTGAGAAATCTTTCTGTCAAAGATTTTGATTTCACAGATTCCAGCTAAAAAAGAAACAAACAAAAAAAAAAACAAAGATAAGCAAAACATTGGCCAAGCTCTTCAGCACTGATACAGACTCAGGGGAGCAAAGTGGCTCAGAGGCTTTTTGGTAGATGATGCTTTACCCCTGAACAGGTAAGACAATTGCTCACTATTTCAATCTGAAACTCACATTGAAAGAAAAGACAGTTAGAGAATTTTATTAATACAATTGCTTTAGTCTTTGGTGCTCAGTCCTTGGCAGGAAACATAGCGGTGAATTTCGATTGATATGCATGAACAGGAGCAAAGAATAGGCTGTTTCCCCCCCAGGCCTGAAACTGGTGGCGGAGTGGAGATAGATGAAGTTGGTCAGTCTGTAGACTGCTGGTTAGTAAGACGGCATGCTGGGCTTTATGGGGAGATCCAGTGGACTGTGGACATATAGATATAAATATCTATCTAGATATCTATCTATCTATCTATCTAGTGTGTGTAGTGCTTATACAAATTTTATAAGCACTACACACACTAGATGCTGGTTATCAATGACTGACGCTTTACTGGCTCTGATGAATGAGGAAATAGGACTTTATTCCACTTTGAAAAGGTTTGCATTTGAAATTACCTAAGGCAGTAGGTAATATCTATCTATCTATCTATCTATCTATCTATCTATCTATCTATCTATCTATCTATCTATCTATCTATCTATCTATCTATCTATCTAT